ATTAACATTTTTGTAATTAAATGTAATTTTTAATTTTCAATTGAAAACATATAAAACAACCAACAAAACATAGATAGTAGAAAAAAATCAATCACAGTTAGTTTTAAATATTATAAATTATTTTCTAACAAATTCTATGATATATTTATTTATGAGATTAAAAAAAAAAAAGGTTTATTTCTAAAATATTAATTACAGTAATATTTTTCAATTGCAGAACTCGACGACTGGATTTTACCATAATTTGTTTTTGTTAGATGACTTTGAATAGGTGCTATAAACCTTTGTAGACGTTAGTTATTTTTTAATCAATTACATTTATTATTCGAATAATTTCTTACCCCCTTGGCAATTTTGAACTTTTGTAAAACTCTCACTAATACCGTTTGATACTTTGCCGGGTTATTGGTTATATCTATGGCCGCTTATAACGCTGTAAACATTCGCAGACAAGTAATTCAATTTTTTCCAAAAGCGATTTTTTAAACATTTAAATTTTGTAATTTAACGCAGATTTCCAATTATTTTCCACCCTTTTTATTAACGTCGTCATCGTCGAACGCCGAGCCGACGGTCGACGGATAGGATAGGATGATGTTGTTATATTATAATATAGTAATATCCTGACATAATATATGTTGGGACGCGTTTACTATGTAAATCCAATGGCCATTGTGTGTGTGCATGTGTATATTAATAAAACATTAGCTTAGGAAACAATTTCAACGACAGATTACAGTTGGGAAACGTACCTTCGGGCTGGCAAAGCCCGGAAAGACGGTGAATTTTAATAATCCTCGCCGGTTATTTCACCGTGAAATATATCCCAATATACAGGGCGATTCACCGGCTATGGACCTGTCAATAGATATCTCAGAAGATACATTCGACTTTATAAACTTTTTTTTTTGTGATATAACTCCATAAAAAAATCATTATGATTTTTTAAAATGTTAATGTATAAGTATAATTAATTGACCTTTTTTAATTTAGAATAGTTTGCTGAAAACATTGACTGGTCGGCAACCAGTTTTGGATATTTTAAAGTTACAATTTTAAGGCGGGTAAATGAGTGGAGTGTAGTGTTATATTGTAGAATAATGTAAACATAACAAAACCCTTCTCAACTCAGAGCGATCACTGGTAGAAAACAAATTCTTCATGACAAATTACAGCAAGTTTCATAACTTAGCATCACTGAGAATTGTTAAAGACTGTTAACATTGATAAATTATAAAAAGATAAATTCACTGATACACGAATCACCCTGTATATTGTAGCGAACGGCCAATAAAGTAACAATAATAATTCGGTTGCGCTAAACCGACGGTATGATGAATATGAACACTGTATGTATGTGTTGGAAAGCCTTTGGTTGTATGTAAAAAATGCCGGGCGGATATATTTTTTAATATAAATAAAACATGAGCTTACAGGCGGAAAGAGGCCGGAGTGATTCGGCCGAGCTTTTGGCGGTGGAACATTATATAAACTCCAACAGCAGACGGGGGCAACGACACAATATGTGTGATATACCTACCTAATATATTATTCGCCGTCTCGTCCAAAAAAAGAAAAAGTGCGAAAGTAAGAGTAAAAAAAGAAAGAAAATAATATATATATATATATATATTAATAATAATAAATAAAAATAAGGGCGTTTTGTTTGTACGTAAGAACGACCTACCCTTATTTTTTTCGCCCCCTCCTCGGCATAATATAATGTTCATTTGGCGGTTTTTCCCGCGGCTAAAGTATATTATATTATGTAATGTCATTTTGCCGGGAAAAGTTTGGAAAATTCGGCGAAAACCCAAAAAGGGCGCAGCAGCACAGCCTTTATGAAATATTCAACGAAACCCTAAGCCGCCGCGAAGCGTAAATTAAAAGCTATTTTCTCCGTGGTATTTATTCATGTATACTTACTTAGTGTCTATATATAAATATATGTATACTGTTTTTTAATACTCGTCTTAAGCCGGAGACCGCGCAATCTTCCCGGTAATGTTCGCTTCGGATCGAGTATTAATTAACATCAGCCTTACCCCCTCGGGTCTGTTTCTCGTCTTTGACGGTATAATCGTTTGACCCCGGCACACAAAAGGGTAGAAATAAACTTTTACACACAACAAATGCCATATAGACCTTTTCAACCGAAAGCCAACAAAAGTTCAGATCCGTCCAACTAGAACCCGACCCCCCGAAAAAAACCCTCTTCAGAGTTCTGTTCCTGTAATTAACGCCCCTATATCTTTCCTATTGAGCTCTGGTTGTTAACTATATGTTTTTTTTTTTACTTTCTTGTCTGTTCATTTGTTTTTCTCCACACTTAGTCATACATTTTGTCTCGTATTATATTTCATAGTTTTTAGATATTTTTGTTGACTCGGTATTTAATTACATTTGTTTTTAATTGATCTCAGTTCCTTCGAAAATGTAATGTTAAATATAATTGATACCTATAATATAATACATAGGACCTATCTGTATACCTTTCTAATATGACTTTTTATAAGAACACGGTTTTCAGCCTTCTATTTTTAATTTCTATTTGCACCCTATACCTCTCCTTCACCACTTTGTTCTGTATTCACCTCTTCACACTCGATCGATTTAAAATGAACGAAATTCCATATTTTTATACTACCTACTGAATGTAGTATTTAAATTTTAACTTTCAAAGGCATAATAAAATGTATATGTTGTTAACATAAAATATTTTGTTGAAAACGATTTTTTTTTTTGGTAACAAAAATTGTACGTCAAAAGAATTGTTCGACCTGATTATTTTAGGTTCATATTAACAATATATTAAGTCAGGGCCATCCAAGGTAGGCGAATGGGACAAATGTAAATTATATATGTTTTAATAAAGTGGCGATTTTTAACTTTAACTCAATACTATTAATTATACGATGTTAATATATTACATAATTAAGTAAAATACGGTCATTGTTGGATTTTTTTTTTTATACAAAAATTGCATTAACTTTTGCCACATTCGTTTACAATAATTCCATTAAGCCCTACTTAATAATTGTTCAAAATTAAAGTTAAATACAACAAAAAATAATTGAAGTAATATCAATTGATAGAATATAAGTATATTCTAAACGATTATATTATGAGACTAAATATGATTAATACATCTTTAAATAGACTGTTCGAATTATTTCATATGTGAATCATTCCAATTCGGTCAACATATGCCATTCGTTATTTAATTACATTTCGGCCAATTGTGAACTCTATCAATTGACATATTAGAGAACATTGCAAAAATCGTCGAGCCGATAAATGACGGCCTATTTAACGGTTCGTTAATGCAATTCCAGAGTTTGGATGTCAAGTTCAACAGACGCCAACGGTTTTTCTTAGCATATTATTATCATTATTGTTAACCCATCATCATGACCTACAATCGAATCGCCGTTATCAAGATCGTCGAGACGATATTGAAACTTACACTCGTCCTTGGTTTTACTATTAATGATAATTACTCTATAAGGCTTGTATTCATAGACGGCACGACATGAAAACATACCTGTTATATATTTTGCAAACTGTTTAACAGTGCCCGACTAAGACGAAGCTAAAAATCGGTTTTGTAACATATAACATTTTTTTAATTCTGGAAGTTTGTGTTTCTCTGACGACAAATCCACCCCCCCCCCCCCCCAATTCAATGCCACAACCTTATCAATGTTCAAATCTTATTCAATTTTCTTCCACTTCCACACCGTCTAACTGCAATTTATTTCACCTCTTTGTGACTACGTCTGTCACTAAAAATGATCTAATAACATTACAAAGCTAATTAATCAATAATAGTGGTAAACACCTGTCCATACGCAGAGCTGAGCCATTTATACAAAAAGTCATGTGATAAAAATTTGCTTTAGTTCTGTATAAAAAAATTTGTAGCATAAAAACCAAAGTCAAAAAAGTCGAAAGAGCAAATTTTTTCAAGGGTTTCCACGGTTTAACGAGTGAAAAAGTGAATTTTTCAATTAGTAAATACTATTTTCGAACTATAGAGTTGCTGATCGAGTTAACCGGTCAAGTAAAACAAAATTATTAAAAAACATTAATATCTTCTTCGCAACGAAGCAAAAAAAAAAATATTTAATTTCAAATATATAACAATTATAAATAACGTGATTTAGTTAAAAGTAACTTCAATTTATTTTTTCATAAAAGAAAATATAGCATAGGAAATTATTAAACATTTCCTAAAATATAGTTGTATTAACCAACATACATCGCTTTCAATATTATCGTTTTAAGTTGTATGTTTTCTTTTCATCGGACTCAAAAAAAAATATATCAGTTATCAAGCGTTTTTATTGAGGAAAACACAAAAAATAAAATATTAATAATACGATTGAATTCTCTGTATTATCATTGTTTTTTAAAAAATGTTTTATTTAAATGAGATCTATACAATCTGTACAATGAAGACAATAAGCATATAGGATAAGTGTAGAAAGAAATTGCATGAATAAAGTTTTGAAGAAAGAAACCACTCGTTAGTGACACTTCCCATGATATATTTTTTTTAATTTTTATATTTATATTTAAATTGACTTAATTATATATTGTTATTAAATAATATTATTAGAAAATCAAGGTAATTATAATACCTTTGACCACCCTCTTCCTCCGCTATGTCATGTCCCTAATGTATTGTACTTCTTTTCTATCTATGCTTTGTTAATTTGTTTTGCAGTGTAATCGTTGTGTTCGAAACGTAGTTATAAAAATTCCAAAATTTACTTTAAAATCATCTATTAAACTACCAATTACAGCCAATAATTCAAATAGTACTACCCACTGTATTCGGTTTCTCATTAACCTTCGCCATAACCTCTAAATTGCCTACAAATTCGTACTAAAACCCTTTGAATTTTTTTTTTCTACCGACCATTTCCAACAGAGGTTAGGTATTAGGTTAGGCAAAATGTACACAGCCGAATGCCTACAACACCGCATTGACTTACCGTCGTGTTTCCATTGTTGGATTTTGCAATACAGGAAGCACAGGCAGACACAAGCGGCGCACGACAGCGCCAAGGTGGACAGTATGGCGTTGACCCACATGTCGTTGATCACCGTGTCGTTGTACATCAGACCGTGCACGTTGATGGCTCTGTGCGGCCCGTTGACTCGCTGGGATCTGGTAGCCGCGGTTACAACCGTACTGGTAGCCACAGTCACGGCGCCGGTAACCACGGTAACCGGCGAAGACGGCGCCTTGGTAGCGATCTCCGACGGCATCGGCAGCGGTGGATCCATCACCCGGCCGGCAAATCGCATCGAGCACAGTGACTGTTTGACCTTAAAAAAAAAACCCAAAAAATAATTATATAATTTAAATAAATAATTGTAATAATAATATACAGACTGCACGTTCCGCTAGAGCATTCGTTCGTTTAGCAGCTGATACTTTTTCAATAGTAATACTATTATTTCAAACTAATCGCGGTCGTCAGCCGAAACCGTCAAAGTGGATCTTAGACAACCTCTGCGCGCGTATCCGTCATCAAAGACGGATCGTTCTTGTTCAATTTATTTTTCAATTACTCCGAAATACTAGGTACAAGTGCAAACGTTTATACTTTGATCGTGTCGATAAGGTTAGCACACCGTAAAAGCTAATCCGCTTACGGGACCAATGTCCGCTATATCACCTTCGTCGGCCGGCAACGAATAAACCGCATTAAACGGATCCACGTCCATATCGAGAAGTAATCAATTAAATTCTCAACCGACGTCGTTAAAAATATTATAATTGTTTCTCCGTCAGAGTCATTGAAAACGACGAAAACAAAATTATTTCAAGGCACATACTCGAATGAATCCTCTCCAACGATGTCAACACCGACTGACCAACGAGATATACAAGAGAAAATCAATTTTATTCAATACAATTAATACTAAAATTATGTAGGCTCGGGCATTTTATCAATTTTTTGTTACACAAACACACACAAACATATATTACAACTCTTCATAAAATATATATAAACCCTACAACTAAGATGGCCGTTTTTTTTTCTTTACCTGTTATCATAAGTTAGCATAATAATTTATCATTTCTATATCTGTGGGAAAACAAAACTGCTCACTGATTTCCGGGTTTTGAAGGATACCACTATGGTTGTAACCGGACTGGTAACCAAAACATGTACCCGGTAACAATAGTAAGTACCGTTTGATTTCGCGTCAAATCCTACGGTTTTCAAATTTATTAAATATACAACAAAACAAAAACCGTAGTTCCTAAAATAATGAAACTAAATCTGTGAAGGTTTTTTCATCCCGACTGAGGTGGACTTTTAATTTTAGGATGAAATGTCGATAAACGACCCCATTGTTTCATATTTTGATTCATTTAGTATTCATGCGCGTTATTCAGGGAAACACTGGAGCTTATCCTCAAACGAAAACAATGTGCGTTTTATATATTATTATTCGTCCCACTGTTTAGTGGTTATAGAGGAATGGGCCAAAAACAGTTAACAGAATGAAATTAACGATTAGATGATATTTTCTTATTGAGTAACACAATGACAAAATCGTATCACACGACACATATGTGGTGAATACATACTTGGAACTACTGAAAATAATTCGATATTTTTTATCAATATCTACTTGTTTTGCAATAAATGGTCAGAGCGAATTGATTAAAAAATGTATACATTATAAGGTTTCTTTTTATACAGAAAAGGAGTAATTTTTTTAAAATATTTCAACAGTATAATTAATACAAATATACATTTTTAATGTACGAAACAAATATTAAATTCAAAACTTTAATTTTTTTTTATATTAACAATTTTTTTAGGAATTTAATTTCAGACTCTTAGGTCCTCGGGGTCTTTTGGTCATAACTAAACACCGTTAATAACAATATTGATAAAACCCACGTGGACGTCTCGTGAGTTAAATCGAATTGTTCGTGAGTTAAACGTATTACAACTATTATTATTTTATTATTGTTGTTGTTGTTGTCGTCGTCGATGGTGGTGATGATGATGCTGCTGTTAACAATCGTCGACTGAGACCCATTAGAAAAAAAATATATAGGTATACATAGGTGCCTATATTATATATTTTGCACTATGGGCTAGGTGTCTATTTAAAACTGACCACGACGACGTTTCGACAACAATAGACAAACCAGGTGGGTTTTTTTTTTTTTCTGAAGGCGCCAAAGAAACAAAACAACAACAGCTACAAACAAAAAACACACACAGGAGATGCGTCTGCACAATAATAGCAATAGTAATACATTAATAATAATAGTTAATAGTTATAATATATAACATGTGACGATATTATTATTTTTCTTAAGCGACGAATAAAATCAATATATTATATCATATTATTATTAAACTCGACACCGTTGGAAGTCTATACGAGTGTGTACACAATATAATGGCGTGGGGACCGTCGGATATTATTCACAAGGACGGTATTGTATTTTTATAGCCTCAGCACCGAAAACCGTGCGCACTCGCCAGACTAATAAAACGTTCATTAAACGCATACCGTACAGCTGCTGCATGTAACTGGCGTTAACTAGTAAATTAAATAATAATACCTAAACGATTTGACATAATATCGCACATACCTAACAAGCCAGACACCGGACGACACACGACTTCGCTGATCAGTCTTGATCAGATAATAATAAATAAATAAATAAACTTTGGGTGCATAGTGGTGAAGAAATAATAATATCTCGGGGAGGTGTAGGTGTACAGAAACTTGTAAAACTCAAAGTTATAATATAATACTTTTCATACGAGCATTGACAAAAATGTCCTGTGTTTTTTTTAGTAATATTGTGGATAAGGTATACCTTAAGGTGGGCCGCCGTCTGTCTATGATAATTTGTTGCCGCTGTTACTCGTTAATAGGATTTAACAGAATGATGAAAATATTTTTCACAAAACTGTTGATTCAATTCGATCATGGAAACCTCGCCAAAGTGTAATTTTCCATTTTTTTTTTGGGGGGGTTTTCTTAATAAAAAAACAAAAGTGTAACTACAGATCCAGATTAAATTGAATTTTCAGGCCTTAAATTTGAAAGTTTTCAACAATATTTTTTCGGTTTATTTTAACAATAATATTCGGTTCTCGATCGATTACAGAATTTGTTTTAAGTAAATCATTTTTTAATTAAAAAAGCTTAGTGAACCTTCAAAAGGTTAGTACTGTATAGTCCCACAATTCTTTTTACATCTGAAATTAATTAGTAATTTCATGTTTCGCTTGTATTAAATATAAAACAATAAAAAAAACATACCTTAAACAATCTCATTTTATATTGATTAAGCATTAACTGATGTTTGAAGGGCGGAAAAAACGAAAATTAAATATTGAAGGACCTGTTTTTTTTCAACGAAGTTTAGTTATTTGTGTTAAAAACTAATTTTCAGTTCTAAAACGGCCTAGTTTAACAGCTAAACCGTTTAATTGCATATATATATATATTAAATTAGCGGTAAATCAATTAAATTCGGTGCTTCATGCGTATGAATCCCAAAAAACGATTATCACATCCTATCCATAATTTAATATCTAATACAACATTACAACAATAATAATAATAATAATATATGACCGCGATTAATGTGGTTATGGCTTTGGTCCAATCGGCCAGCCGTTCGCACGATAAGTGTCACGGATATAATAATAATAATTATTATTATTATAGATATACATGTAAGTTCTACTACTAAACCCATTATACCAGTAGGCATAATACACAGCATCCGTATTGTTGTCGCGTATAGACATATTTTACTGATATTAATTAATAATGGCAGTCACGAAAGACCTATCGTCCCACCAAAACCGATAACAACTAATCCGATGGCCTTTTGCCCATAGAACATACTATTATTAATATTGGCGTTTTTTCATTACAGGCGGATGAAAAAAAAATCACAAAATAAACAGCTCGAATTCTCTATTAAAAAAAAATTGCACCCCCCCCCCTTTTGCTGCTCCTAAGGTGCTCAAATATAACAGCAGTGTACAAAAAGTTTGTTATACAAGAAATTTATTGTCCCCGTTTTTGCATAACAAGTTCAATACCAGTAAGAGATAAGAGATTAGAGACAAGTGATAAGAGACAAGAAATAAGTGATAAGAGATATGAGTTAAATGATAAGAGATAAGATATAACATGATTCAATGTTTTTCTGTGGAGCAAAGAAAATAACAAGGTTTTTTCTGTTTTGATTTTGAAACAAAATACATCTAATTTTTGGACTTTTTTTTTAATTGTAGCCCTATCTGTAGCACGTCTAGTTATTTTTGTATAACTCCTATAAAGATGTAAGCAACACAGTTTTGAATGTTTCTGTACGCTGCGAGTATTTTTTATTGAGAACTGACTTCAAAATTAGAGTGGAATTTTTGGTTATTTATATATGGAATAGGAAATTGGGAAATTGCGATTATTGTTTTGGTTGACAGCTTGGGCTTACAAAAAACAAATACCAAATGTATATTAGTTCTTATTCACTTGCCCCTACCCTCCCATAAAATATTTTATTGTTGAATACAGAAATTGGCCAATAATATATTATTCAAAGGACATTTTCACCGAACGCGTCAAATAAAATAATTATTATTTATATATTTCACGATATTGAACGAACCGGAATATATTATTTGACTGTTTTGAACGATATTATTTTTTTTATACACTTATACTTTTTTCAATAAGGGTTTGATTATAACAAAAGTAAATTCTACGAATTGTGTACTTAATTTTTACGAAGCCAAATAACTGTTTTATTTTTGTTTATATAAATACAAATTATTGGAGTAAGTAATTGGCTTTGAAAAATCATTATCTGGCAACGTTAAACAAATAATTATTTTTCCTGAATATTCATCGTATCCACTTATTTTTAAAATGAAATGTACATTTTTAAGAAAATATTGGTTGTTAGTCTTTGTTTACAGGATAGAATTTTTTCAGTTTTTTAATTTAGTAAAAATGTTATAAACTTCTTTTGGTCATTTTATATAATATTTTTCAAATCATTTTCACGGAAGTTTGTAAGTATTGATTTTGTGTTTTTCTGTCTAACTGACGTGGGCTTTGCTTTCAATTTTTCCTTTTATTTACACTAAGAAAGAATAGTGTTAATGTTTTTTTCTTAAACTAATTATTGATGTTATACCTACTAAAAGTAATAACTATATATTTTAGATGCACATTTTGTATTTTAGGTCGATTTTGTTTAGCTAAGTATTAGTAAGTCGAATGGTAGAATAATTTTAGCACATCAACAGCTGTTCCTACTA